GTAGGTTAATGTCGAACTTGCCAACTAGCTAAGCATAGAAAAAAAAATACTGGTCTTTACACCCCATTGCCCGTTCCTACTTGTCCTTAGCAAGATATGAGCATGGATTTTGTGTTTGGGCTTCCACATACTACAAAGAAACATAATTCTATTTTTGTGGTTGTTGACCGCTTTTCTAAGATGGCCCATTTTATTCCTTGTACTAAGACCATAGATGCTTCCAAAGTTGCAAAACTCTATTTTGATGAGATTGTCAAGTTGTATGGTTTTCCCCAAACCATAGTTTCGGATAAGGATGTTAGATTCACAAGTTATTTCTGGAAAACCCTTTGGCATATGGTGGGAACCAAATTGAAGTTTTCTACTGCTTACCACCCCCAAACTGATGGTCAAACTGAGGTGGTTAACAGGAGTTTGGGCAACCTTTTAAGGTGTCTAGTGAATGATCATAATCGAAATTGGGATCTGATTCTTCCTACGGCCCAGTTTGCCTATAATAGCTCTATTAATAGGTCAATAGGCATGAGTCCCTTTGAAGTTGTACATGGTTACAAGCCTAGGAAACCTTTAGACCTTCTTCCCATGTCCCTTCATGCTAGAGTGTCTGAGTCAGCCGAGTCTTTTGCACGTAGAATTTAGGATTTGCATATTGAGATCACTAAACAGATTCAAGCAAGTAATGCACAATATAAACTTCAAGCTGATTTACATAGATGACATAATGAGTTTAATATGGGAGACTATGTTATAATACGAATTAGACCCGAGCGGTTTCCTTTGGGAGCTAATCAAAAATTTCATGCACGTAGTGCCGGACCTTTTAAAGTGCTATAATGGGTTGGTCCAAATGCTTATGTTTTTTATTTACCACATGATTTTGGCATTAGCTCTACATTTAATATTAAGGATCTAGTTGCATACCACAAACCACTTCCTATTCCAGATGATCCATTTGAGATACCACTTAACTCCCTTTTTGATGATCATATTGAAACCTTTATCCCTTTCACCTTGACTTCAGCACAAAAGAATAATATTGATGTTATTCTAGATGAAAAAGTTGTTTTTAACAGGAAAGGTGAGGTTCAATGGTTTCTAGTTCATTGGGTGGGTCGACCTGACTCAGATTGCACTTGGATTACTATAGATACTTTACAACAGCTTAACCAGATCTTTAGGAGTACTATCAGAGTCGGCCAGTACTATACTCAATGGGGTCGAGTTTCTCTAACCTCGGGAGAGTTAGTGGGGACACTAGACCTACACCACAAACTATACGAGTATATGGACGGAGACGATGTAGGATGGCCTAGTCTGTCACGCTTTGGTTGGGAGACTAAGCCCATTTGAGCCTATTTCATTCTTATTTTATTTATTTAGCCCATTTGGGCCTACTCATTGTTATTTTATTATTTATATTAAACAATTTGATTTGATGGGTCGAGCCCAATAGCAGGATGTTTTAGGGTTTACTATTTATATGTTCTTTTGTCATTTTGAAAGGCACTTTTGATGATTAATGAAAATTTACAGATTTTGCATATCTCCAATCCCCTTTCTTCTCTTTTTCAGCTTTTTTCTTTTCTAAAGCTTCTTTCTGTTCTCAGCTTTAATTCTCTTGTTTTTTGTTCCGCATCAAATTCGAACCAGAATATATATGTTTGTTTTTTACCGTTGATTGATGAGTTAATGCAGTTGTAGTCTTTTAGAGTTTTGACTTATGATATATCGAGAGAACAAAATTTTCTTATAAGGGCGGATTTGATGTGGACTGTCAATAATTTTCTAGCTTATGAAATTGTTTCTGGTTGGAGCATGCATAGAAAACTAGCATGCCCATATTGCATGAAAAACAACAAGGCATTTAAGCTAACAAACAGAGATAATGTTTTTTTTACTACCATCGTCATTTCTTTATAACAAATCAAAGGTATACAAAGAATAAAAAGGTTTTTTTTTTGTTGGCAGAGTTGAAAAGGATGTTGCACCCCCATGTTTTTCTGGTGAAGAATTGCATGATGTTGTGTCGGAGTATGGTGGCATTGTGTTTGGTTTCCAATCTGATAAGTAGAAGTTTCTTGGTTTTGGTTTGACCCACAACTAGGTAAAGCATAGCATTTTCTGAAAGCTTCCTTAGACTAATGTTCTCCACCAGGACCTTAATGTCATGCATATAGAAAAGAACATGTTTGAGAAAATTTTCAAAACTATCATTAATGTGAAAGGAAAGATAAAGGACAACATAAAGCCTAGAATAGATATAACATTGTCTATCATTATGATCTTATGCATATGTGTGTGTGTGTTGGGTGTGTAATTTATCTTTTTTCTCATGTACATGCATTATTTGAAAGGTGAAAACTACAATAAAAGTTTGAAGCGTTATAAGTTAGGGATTGAGCTTTATGGTTTTTTCATATATAATATTTTTAGTTTAATAACAAGGTTCACGTGTTTAAAAAGTTAATACGAGTTGACATTTTTTTTTACTTATTTCTTTTATGATTTAATTGTTTGATATTATTTTTTTTTACTGAGCTTTGTGGTTTTCTTTTATTTATTTTCTATTAGATTATCCCAAACTCATGACTTGGAAATCAAGTTTAAAGAGTTAACCTAAATTAACTCATCATTTATTACCCAAGTTACATGCATGTTATGCTAACTTCGGTTGACTTGAGTTATATCCAATTTCACTCTTTCATATTTAGTTAGTCAAAAATTGAACTACATTGTTTTTTTCTTTAAACAAATAGTTTTTTTTTTCAAGTTATTGTGATTATTTTTTTAAGACTTTTTTTATTGATTTACCATTATTAGTGATTTTTTTATTATCTAACTAACATAAAATCAATTTATTTAACTTAATAAGTTCTATAATTCAAATGGTAGATTGATTAGTACTTAAAAGTGTATTTTTTTATCAAGGTTTTATGTCAT